CTTTCCAAATTACCTTTCTACATTTGACTTGCCAATAATTTCTCTGCCTTCCAGCGCATTAATTTCGGCGCTCCATTCTTAAGAACTTCATATCTCTTTCCGTTTTCTCGTCCTCCTTTCAAGTAATTGCCTTTCTGAAATCTACTTCCTTGAACGCCCCCAGTAACTAATGTGTAAGCCTCCAACACAAGTCTGGGATTTCTGTTTGCTCTGCTGTCTGGTTTTTGGTACCTTTGCTATTCAGAAATTGTGTGTATTAAAATATTTCCTTCAACAAAAAATTTCCTTGCCTGCACTCACACACTAAATACTTTCCTAAGCTTTACATATTTTTACTAATCGCATGCACATGCCTTCATCTCTTCGAGCAAGCATGCGAAAGAGATTTACATGAGTGTATATTTTAGCTTACTCATAGTCAGCGTTCGCGATTTTGGCAAAACTTTTACTTTCATTCAATCAAAGTTTCTCATTTTGCCTCCAGACATTTTGTAGAGTCACCCATCTATTCGTTTTTAGCTTTCCCCTATACTGAAAATAATTTAATTTATTTCCTCTTTTTGTTGTCCTTGGGCTGAAATTGGCTAACTGCCTGTTAACATTTTACTTATGACTTGACATATGCAGTCAGTCATTTGCCCTTTTATTTTTGTTTAGTTATTTGAAAACTTTTGTGCCTGAAAAGTTTTTACAAACTGGAAAGGGATTGCAATTTTAAAAAACCATCATTATTATTAGGTTATTTTTAAAAAATTTTGTAATGCAAACTGAAGCTTAAAATCATTTTTAAGCAAATAAATAGCTGACAAATATGCACTTTCTCTTTAAAATGCGAGTTGTGCTGAAAATTATAATGATAATTTTGTGCAATCTGTAATAGAAAAAAACCAATAATAATTATTATGTTAAAAGTAAAGTAAATGTTAAGCAAAAGTTGAAAAAATTAAAAAAATACGGTACCGGGAATCGAACCCGGGCCTTTTGGGTGAAAGCCGGATATCCTAGCCACTAGACCATATGGGAGCTCAAAAGAATGACTCCAAAAGTTCTAACATGTGAATGAGATTGACAGAAAAATATCGTAGCCATTAAACTATTCAAATGATTCAATTTTTAAAGCATGAATATTAAAAACAAAAAAATTAAAATAACTACAAAAAGTTATTTGCCATCATAGGCACTAGACCATATGGGACCTCAAAAGAATAATAACTCCAAAAGTTCTAACAAGAGAATTAGATTGAAAGCAGATATCCTAGCTAATAAACTATACAAGTGTTATCATAAAATTTTCTAAAAAGTAAGTATTAAAAAAAAAAATGCTTCCCATACCGGGAATCGAACCCGGGCCTTCTGGGTGAAAGCCAGATATCCTAGCCACTAGACCATATGGGACCTCATAAAAATAACGGCAAAAGTTTTAACAAGTAAACCAAATTGAAAGCAGATGTCCTAGCCACTAAACTATTCAAATGATTCATTTTTTTAAAACATGAATATTCAAAAAAAAAAAGTATTCCCATACCGGGAATCGAACCCGGGCCTTCTGGGTGAAAGCCAGATATCCTAGCCACTAGACCATATGGGACCTCATAAAAATAACGGCAAAAGTTTTAACAAGTAAACCAAATTGAAAGCAGATGTCCTAGCCACTAAACTATACAAGTGTGATGATTAAATTTTCTAAAAAGTTTATAAAAAATTGATAACAAAAAATTGCTAGGCTATTCAAATTGGTAAATTTTTTAAAATATGAATACTAAAAAAAACAATAAAAAAATGCTTCCCATACCGGGAATCGAACCCGGGCCTTCTGGGTGAAAGCCAGATATCCTAGCCACTAGACCATATGGGACCTCATAAAAATAACGGCAAAAGTTTTAACAAGTAAACCAAATTGAAAGCAGATGTCCTAGCCACTAAACTATTCAAATGATTCATTTTTTTAAAACATGAATATTCAAAAAAAAAAAGTATTCCCATACCGGGAATCGAACCCGGGCCTTCTGGGTGAAAGCCAGATATCCTAGCCACTAGACCATATGGGACCTTACTAAAATAACTCCAAAAGTTCTAACAAGAGAATCAGATTGAAAGCAGATATCCTAGCCACTAAACTATACAAGTGTGATGATTAAATTTTCTAAAAAGTTTATAAAAAATTGATAACAAAAAATTGCTAGACTATTCAAATTGGTAAATTTTTTAAAATATGAATATAAAAAAAAAACAATAAAAAAATGCTTCCCATACCGGGAATCGAACCCGGGCCTTCTGGGTGAAAGCCAGATATCCTAGCCACTAGACCATATGGGACCTTACTAAATTTACTCCAAAAGTTCTAACAAGAGAATCAGATTGAAAGCAGATATCCTAGCCACTAAACTATACAAGTGTGATGATTAAATTTTCTAAAAAGTTTATAAAAAATTGATAACAAAAAATTGCTAGACTATTCAAATTGGTAAATTTTTTAAAATATGAATATAAAAAAAAAACAATAAAAAAATGCTTCCCATACCGGGAATCGAACCCGGGCCTTCTGGGTGAAAGCCAGATATCCTAGCCACTAGACCATATGGGACCTTACTAAATTTNGTGGCATTCACAGTTCTTGGACCTTCTCTATAAATATACGTTCTCTGCTAGAAGCGCACCAGTTCAGAACAAGATATTTTCCCCACAGGGAATTCATCCTAAAACAGTGTGATGGTAAGGGTAGGGTATACATGTGTNAGCCACTAAACTATACAAGTGTGATGATTAAATTTTCTAAAAAGTTTATAAAAAATTGATAACAAAAAATTGCTAGACTATTCAAATTGGTAAATTTTTTAAAATATGAATATAAAAAAAAAACAATAAAAAAATGCTTCCCATACCGGGAATCGAACCCGGGCCTTCTGGGTGAAAGCCAGATATCCACACACATACGTATGTATGGGTGTAGGTGCGTGCGAATGTACTAGAAGCGCACCAGTTCAGAACAAGATATTTTCCCCACAGGGAATTCATCCTAAAACAGTGTGATGGTGAGGGTAGGGTATGCATGTGCCATTTTTTTGTTCTGAATACCAAAAAATTCTTGAAATTCGTCTACATTACACTTCAATCCTTTTCCTGGAAGAAATGCTAAATCATACTTTAATAATCATAAAAATATCTGTGTTTCGTTCTATCTATTTTCGTAGCCATTAGATTCGAAATATTTTACACCTGACTGCACTTCGCACAGAAGCTTAAGCATCCTTGAAAATGTCTGGAGTTAGCCGTCGGTTTTTTTTTTGGCTGTTTTCGCTTGCCGCAATCTTTTGCGTGCGCGTTCCACTTCGCCGCTATTTATGACACTTCAAAAGTGAAGCCAGAGGCAAACGAAGATGGTCAACTGAAGTATATAAGCTCTTCCTGATTTTACTTCCACTTATTGTGTGGCTTGTCCAGTTAATCCTTTGCCAAGTGATGCAGTTCTGTGTGTATGTATGTAGCTAATAAGAGGAAATAGGTTGAAAAGTTAGACGAAAGAATACAAGCGCACTTGAAAATGGAAGATTTAGTAAAGAAATGAAAAGAAAGGAAGATGTTGGAATCTCTATTGCGAAATTTTTACAAATAAAACAAATTGGTAGCGCAAAAAAAAGAAAAAGTTGGGTTAGCTTACCCAAAAAGGAGCACCCTCACACCTTTTAAATAATATTGCAAACATTTTCTGGCTAATAGTCGGGAAAGATTTTCCAACAAAAGTTTGCGCAAGTATTTAGCAAAGTTTATACACAATTTTAATGAGCTTCTATTGCCTTCAAACCAGCCTATATTAAAAACAAGTTTTACCTTAATAGCCAAGCTGAGACCATAACAAGCAAATAAGTAATGCTGGAAAAATATATTCTGGATATATATGCATCTCCTTTAAACCTACCGACCTTTATTTGTCGTCACAAAAATAATTTCTGACAGTTTGTAATTTTTTCCTTGTTAAAAAAATGCTTCATAAGTGTTTATTGTACTAAATTTTCTGAGATCTTCTGAAACCCTTTTCCACGGCGTCGCTATCTTAAAGAATCTTTGAAATTGACTATTCAAAATGTTTCATATCAAGTCTACATCTGTACTGAACATAAAAATCTCGCGAATCGTGGCATTCATTATATCGTTTTTTCGAGTCACCACCACTTTCTGCTTTTCACTTTGACCTTAAGAAAAATGTACCTTGTAAACTAATTACTGCTTTTGGAGTATTTTGCACACCCTGTTTTAAATATTTTGTGCATTAATGTTATTCAGAGGATTGCGCATACGCTAAGTTACGACACAAACCAATTCGCAATAGAGATTGAGTCGCTTGTAACACCTTGTGACGGGGAAATTTCGCGAAGGGAAAATTTTCTGTTTGAATGTTTAGGGTTTGTGCCCTTGCTAAAAACGTTCTTAGGTGCGGTTATTGCGTTCGCTGAAAGAAACAACGGTCTTGTGAATGAAACCAGTCAGGCCAGAGAACGTTTATAAATTTATTTATTTATTTATAAATTTATAAACGTTCTCTGGTCAGGCATGTCTTTCCCAATAAGCACACACATCCATACATATGTACACTTGTCCACAAAATAATAGGAGTGCCATATCTTGATCAGGTTTGGCTGTTTGTTTTTGTTTATTTAATGTTTATTATTTTTTTATAAAAGTGTAGCTGGTTATACAACAAACATCATATCAATTTAGGTACATTTTAAACTTTGTACAAAAATGATAAAAATTCTGCAAACTTTCACCAAAATTTCAAACATTTTTTATTTTGTGGACAACTGTACATATAACTAAACTCGGTGCTTATAGAACGGTAGTAAGAAGAGTAAAATTATTTCGCAATAGAGAAAGTTGTTCCTTCTTCTTATATTTTTAATTGTAGTTATTTATTTATTTATTTAAACAATGTATCACACAAATATATTTTTTATAATCATTTCCAAAAAGTTTTTAAATTTAACCTAATTTTCTTATTATTATTATTTTGTTTGTTCGTAAAAAATCCTTACACATATCTATTCATATAATATGAATTCATATTAGCTTATCACAAGGAAACCAATTGGCTTGCGCATTCCTTCGGTGTATCCTCGCCACTGCTACCGCCACCGCCAACAATCAATGCAATAAGATCAGCCAAAGTGCGATCGCCAATCAAATCATTCGCCAATGGCACCACAAAGTCATTAGCCATCTCCTCCATTTCCTCAGTATTCTCATTCACCGCCAACAAAATCCATTCCTCAATAATTTCATTCAATTTCTTATTGACAATTTTGATTTGTGACAAATTTTCAATTTCCGATTTCACATTTCCAATGGTGACGCTAGCTTTGAATTCCCTCAAGCGCACCTTCCCAATAATGCTGTATTTAGCCGAGCCTACTACAATCAAATCTTCAATGGCAAATTTGGCGCCCCCATTGCGCCCTAACTTTATACGATTGCCACTATTCACATCCATTTTGTAATCGGTAACCAAATGAACCTTTTGCCAGCGAAATTGGAAGTTGATCTTCCGTGTTAAAACACTAATCTTGAACTGCACGATATTGAAGTCATCTAGACCGTAGAGTACAAAGTTATCGATTTCAGCCGCCAAAGCTAAACCATCGGAATTGAGCGCTATTTGGCGATGGGAGAGCTGCGCCGGAGATAATGGGCCCAAACCGAGTCCAGGGAAGCCGCACGGCATTTGTGCGCGTATGCGTTCAATGTGGTCGACTACTTGGCTGGATATGGAGCGATCGTAACCTGTGGGAGGAAAAGGTGAGATATATTGTAAATCAATTGAAAATGGATTATTCAATTTATGGTTGTTTTGTTGTTTACAATGAGTTGCTAATCACTTTTGGAATACCATACTGGTCGGAGCTAATGCTTTTAGAGTTAAATATTTATGATGCAAAATTACAGCAAGTGCGCAAAAAGCATTGTCTAATCTTCATTGTGGGTCCACAAATATTTCCAACAATAAAGCAATTGAAACATTTGTAAAGAATTTACTTAACACAATTTATTTATGGTTGAAGACATATGTAGACATTTAGTTACGTGATGTTGGTTGGTTTGTGACAGCATTATTAGTTATGAAAGCACGAAAGAGACGCAGCTGTACTCTGAAATATTCTGCAAGAATGGCTTTCCGAGTGTTTTTAGCCTCATCCTTGCGAGGGCTGGACACTCGCACGCGAAGTGTTCGGCTGTCTCTTTTCAGCCAGGGTCGTCGCAACTGCGACAGAACCTGTTGAAGGGCAATCCCATATTTTCTTCATGTACCCCAACGGGCCAGTGCCTTGTGCACCCTGCAGTAAGTTTTTAGGTATCTTTTTTGCTCATTCCTAAGAGAGCTTAAGTGGGTCATAGGACTCTCAGAACTTGCGGGTAATAATGTACGGTTTCATCTCTGCTTGGCAGTCGCTTTTAGTTGTAAGAAAGATGTTCTGTTCATTCTCTTAACATTCAATCTAAGAAAGGCAGTGACACTTGAAACGCTGAAGAACAGTCGAGTTACCTACCAAGCAAACCGATTAATAGGCTATTTCCACCAAAGGCTTAACTGCCGTTAAGAGCTCAGAAAAGTTCAAATAATTCCAACATGGGGTGATCGGAAAGGTTTTCTTAAGTTTTGCTTTTTTCCTTTCGTTTGCTTCTACTTAATAGGTGGAGCCACCACCTTCGAGTTGTAATCTCCGTTTTTCAAACGGCATGAACTGCAGTTAAGGCATGATGGAATTAGCTATAAGGTCTTGCCTCCGTGTGATAAACTGAATTTGACTTCAGCTATCTTTACAGAGATCGACTAAACCGAAACCCGAAATGCCAGCATCTCCATTAAAATGGAATTTAACTAATTGAAAACAAAAGCGATTTTCTTTTATATCCTCTTTTAAAATTGCCATTACTGATTACCTTAAATATTTCAGTTTTCCTAATAAATACTTTAAGCTTCCTACAGGTGATGAGATAGACTGTGAACCGTCCAAGCCAGCCCTGCCCAAACGGTTCACGACAAACGAAAGAATTTTCCTAGAGCACCAATCCCTCTTAACTATTGCGCCCAATGGTTTTGTAGTTTCTTAAGCCGCATACCAAGTATACAAGCAAAATTTTACTCCAGCCATTAATACATGCTTATCGTGGTGATAGGATTGCCAGATTTTGTTTTTCTCAAAAATCAGTACTTACGGCTTTTTCAGCGATGTGCAAGAAGTACCTGTCCGCACTTGGGATGAACAACTGGCGCAAATCCGCAAAGGAGAGAGTCAATTGGCGAAGTTTTTTTTTATTTCGGCCCAAACTTATTAATCGGCAATATTTTCAGATTCGGCTGAATGTTCCGCCGTAGTTTTTGCCGAGGCCGAACCTTTTTGCTATCTAGATTGTTTTTGAACATGTATTATAAGTTAAAGGTATACAAAAAAATTTGGTATTGCAACTTTTTCTTAAAATTAGCTCTCAGCTGAGAACTTTAGAATTTGAAATAGTGACTAAGGAATATACATGTAAAATAGTTCTGAGAGGTGCTGATATTTTTCAATATTGGCATACTAGTTCCCTAGTGTTACTTAAACCAGTTGCTAAAAATTGCCTTTCTCCTCCACCCACCAGCGGTTATAGAACAAACTCACTTGTCGAGAACGCTAACAAATTGTTGGATTTGAGTGACAGGGCGGCCGCTGTGGCTGACTGGTTAGAGGTGCGTACTAAGGACCTGATACGTACAACTTCTCGATTAGAAAAAAAAATATATACATAATGGCAAACCTGCGAGTGTGTTTCTGCAATGAAAAAGCTTCTAATAAATACCATTTAGCTTTCGGTAGTTGCACAAAACTGTGGGTCCCTCAATTTGTGTTACAACATCAAGACGCACACCACAAATTACAGCTCATAACAGCTATACATAACAATGACTTTGCCCAGAAACTGAACTGTGACTACAATTATTTTAATAAATTGTGCATTTTTTTTGTTAATACATAAGAGATAAATTCGGTTCTATGTATTTTGTATTTTATGCACACTTAAAAAGGCAATATGGAGCTTATTCTTTGAAAAAATCGATTTAATTAATTTTAAAGTGAATCACCGGCTTCGGCCGAAAAATCTAGCCTCGGTCGGACTCTAGTCCTCAAACTGGCAATAAGTGACGTGCCCAGGGCATCAAAAAAAAAAGTCAAAAGTCACAGTTCTATGCCTTCTATCCTATCTTATCCTTTCGGATAAGCCATTTAAGGTTTGAGGCATGCTAACGTGTCTGCTTAGTTAACGGAAGCATAACTTCCACACGAAGAAACTAGTTTGATTTGCACAAGGAGAATGCATGTGGGCATTTCATGTTAAGTGTCAGCCAATAGCAATGTTTTTTCACCTTCTTAACAAAGTGGTTTTCGCTTCTGCACCATATCCTTTTTTGCTTACTACTTTGTGCAATTTTCTATCATGAACTAGTTTGAATAATTGAAAATCATAATTTACTTTTTGCAAAAAATATCAGCGGAATTATTTATCAAAATCCTGACTTCCTTCCGTCTTTCACTCAAATTTTCACACATCCGCATAACTTCCTATTTGAACGAAATTCGAGTCTCCGTCACTCACATACATTGTGTTAATTTTTTTTTTTTGTGTTTTTTTGATACACTTACCATCTAACCGCTCCTGAAACTCGTAACTGTTGGTCATGGCCACTAACGCCAACATAACTAAGAGCAGGAATTTCATTTTAAATAACACTTTCGATTTAACACGTTCACCTCGAATTGTTTAAGGAAACTGAACAGCCTTTGTAAGTAGTGACTTGATTATATAGGCCGCCAACTTTCAATAAACGGATTTTCATCATTACTATTTGAAATAAAAAATAAAAATGCCATTTGTTCATTGGCTAATTCTGTTAATCATTAACTTAAATGTGGGTAAAAAGGAGCTGATAAGGGGCATGCAAATACGAGTACGTATACGTATACATTTACCTATGTATTCAACTCATGTATTCTTTTCGAGAGCCTTGTGTAACACAATGCAACAAAAAGCAAAAAATTTCAAAACTCAGGAAACATTCAATGTACTCACGAAACTATAGTAATACTGCGTTTTTAGTTTTTCTCTCTCTCTAATGGACTGGGATTTCGAAATTTCAAAAAAATTATTGATTCTAAAAATTCAGCGCAATACTCTTCATTCCACATCGAACAGGAAATTCTGTAGAATTAAAAAAAAAAAAAAAACAATTTTTTTTCTGGTTTTCAAGAACGAATAAGTATTGAAAATGCCTTTTTAATTTTTAATTTTTTTTTTATCCTAAACAAATTAAGTTAAAACACAGAATTCGACGATGCGGTTATACATATATTGTACTTAACATTTAAGTTTTTCAAAAATAAATATTCAGCATCATTGCGTAAGTCGTAAATTAGGGTAAATTGTACGACTCGACAACATTGGCATTGTTTACTGTCGTGCTGAAATAAGTAAATGACGAAAATCGTCGAAAACTATACAGTGCTGCCAAGTTTTTCCGTTTTAATACACTAGTCGAATGGAAATTTTAGGCAATGACGTGCGATTTGCAATACGATTCGACTCTCGAAAAACGACTTGCATGCGACACCACTCTCGCAATGAGGGTGATTGAAAATTTTGAAAATGAATGTTAAGAGATATTAAAGCATAAAGTTTTAAAGAATATTTTAAATATCTATTTGTCCTTTTGCGCAAAAAATCAGTTTTGAATAATTTTCTAAATATTTTTTGAATTAATCATAGCGTTGAAATTTAAAAGAACTTAAAAAATTCCGACGCCAGAGAGAAAAGCTAAACTCCCACTTTGACTTACTATATTTGTGTCCCCAGTTTCGCGAGTACATATGAATATTGATTTTTATGTGTTGAATTGACTGTCGCACGGTGTAATTATTGGCTCGATTTAGCTATTAATAGCATTATATTTTTTCATACTAAGGTCATAAAAGTCTGCACGTTTATCATATGCAGATAACCTTAATTAGTGTAATTTTTATGGGTTATCACGTGAAACTCGTGCGATACAGCGTATTTTCCATAGAAGTAGGTACATAGCGACTTTTTGTTGGAATGTTATGTGCTTAGAAACTGGATTAAAAGAGATTTTCTCTTTGATTTGAAAATACTCAGTATGTAGTCTCTAAATTCTCACTCTCCATGGCAAATGCGATTGTTCCAGCCTCGATATGTTTCGCGACACGATGTAGGGAGACAGCAGTACCGCTACTATGTTCTTGGCGAATTTGACAGAATCAGCTATTCGTGTGACGTAATTTTAGCGATATGTTTGTATGTACCCAATTTGCCAAACGACTTCGTAACGACGTCGTTTCTGACAGTTCGCCGTTGGGCCCTCGCCAAGGCACGTCAGAAGGCATCTATCTATACGAACTGACGGGCGAAATTCAGAGGTTCACAAAGCACCCTCTGGACCCGACGGCATATCTACAGGCCTTGAGCGCTATTCACAGGGAGTCGGTCGCAAGGTACGTAGACTCCAGACCTGTGGATGCCCTTCTGGGCACACATCCACCTGACGTGGAGGAGAAAGAGCTGCCTCGGGAAACTCGGACCACAATAGCCAAACTTCGCTCTGCAGCAGGTTGAGCTCGTTCCTGATGATGATGAGTGCCCGGCATGAGGAGAGACTCCCCATGCTTCGAAACATATCATCGCATGCCCACTAAACCCCACTCAACTAACGCCTCTGTGGCTATGGACGGACCCTATAGAGGCTGCACGCTTCTTGGGTCTCCCGTTAGTTGAGCTTGACGATAACGATTGAAGGACTAGCCGGTTTGGGCGGGATTAATGTAGCCGCTAGAACAACAGCAAAGTTCTTGAGAGCAAACAAAAAGCTGTCCGCACGCGAACGATGAATCCGCTTTAAGTATTCAGTGGAAGTCGGTGGTAAAGCCTTCGTGGTTAGCAATGAAAACAACCGTTGTATCATGGCGCGAAAGAGCTAACGATACGTAGGACAGCAGTACGATAAAATTATAGATTAAAAAAATGTATGTAGCATTGCAATAGTTCACCGTTACTGTGCACCATCACACGAGAGGCACTGGGAACGATCCATCCAGCATCCACTGGCCCTCGCCAGTAATCTCACGCTAACCGAAAGCCACGGACAATCCACTAGTGCCTTCTGCGACATTCACAGAATGACCCTCAGGGTTTTACTTCTACTTTGGACTCGTATGAAGAATAATACCCATGTCTATATGTCCTCGGTATAGCATTTTTGCTCCCTTCATCATAAGGGTTCTCTTGAAAGTAAAGTTCCTTAAACTGGCACATTTAAGTCTTGATGGGCCCGTCAGAATGGGCACTTGTACGTCAATAACGGAAAAGTATGCGAAGGAAGTGGCGTACGTAACGCAGAGATACGCCGCAATGAAGGTATTGCGTCTGCAAACAAAAATCAGTTGTTCTTTATGGCCGCGTACTTGGGGTTTACACAAGTCAATTTTGAAGATACAACAGCAAAATAGTCACAGTTTTTTTTACTAATATATTCCCACTTCTCTTGATGTATTCGTCACTGTCTTTGACTTTTCGAAGACAGTTTATTGTCTGGACGCCTACTTTACTCAAACAATGTGACAATTAATACATATTCTCAATTGTCATGCCTTGTGTAAACGCAGAGTTATACAACTGTCAGCAGTGACAGACTTACGTGCGTCAAAAGTTGAGTGTTGGCCAACGTTCGTTGGGTCCGTCGACGCAAGGGTTGTCAATCTGACGGTCTCTATGCAAACACGCACAGTCTACCACTGTCAGTTTCATCGTATTTTTTTTTTTTTTTTCTTTTATGTATGATACCGCAAACGTGGTCTAAACGTCAACCGGTTTCGATAATTTTTCTATCGGAAAGGTAGTGTCACACAGGTCATCCCATACTAATTTGGTTTAGGGCCAAACATTGGATCATGAAAAAATTAACGGTACTCCTTAATTTTTATATGAAAATTGAAGTCGGTTGTGTTCTTTCCTTAAAAATGACTTGTTATAGTTGCAGTTCGAATTTTATTATGAAGATTTTAATAAAAATAAAAAAAAAATTCCAGAAAAAGCCACGAAGTCAGATCTAAATTTCTGAGGCTATAGCATAAAATTAAATGCTAAATCTAGCCTCGAAAAGGCTAACCTGGTCACTCTGATCGTCAGCACACCGGTAAAGTTCCAGAGCAAGAGAAGAGAACTTGTCTTTATGATTAGGCAGGTTAATTTTACTTACCATAAATAAGCTTTTTCTCTCAGTGAAAAAAGTGTTAAACGCTTAAAGCTTTCTACTTAACTTAAAAATGGAAAGCATACTATTGCAGATAAAGTTTTAGCTGTGAAAAAGCCTACGGCCCACAGAAACCAATACAAAACTCAGCATATATTCTTACAAATATTTATGAGATATGCACATTTATGTTAATTAGCAGTCCTAAATCAATCGAGCAGGGTACCATAACATACTTTTATAGCATTGAGTGGTTAATCAGTAAGTGTCTTTTAAATCATTTCTTCACTAATTTTATATGAGATTTTCCTTACGTCTGAATTGATTACTTTACTTAGAACCGATCGGGGTGTTTCATATATTGTTTGTACTTATTAGAATTTTTATAAAAAAATTAAAACGTAAAAATCATTTTCTCTCACCCTACTCAACTTAAATCCTTCAGCACTTCGCTGAACTAAATACTACTTTTACTTGTCCAGCGATTCACTGCTCACTTCTGTATAGTTCCACAAAAAAAACTTGTATCGTCCTCCTTTACTATTTATATATCGTCTATTGCAATATTTTTGTCCAAAATGCACATTTTATTCCATTCTCAAAAATACGTCTTAGCTTAGCAACAAAGATCCAATCCAAAACCATTGGATTCAATCAATTAATATGATGGTGGAATGCATTCCTCCCTCTCTCCACCATTGCCAGTCACCAAACTAACCAAATCGGTTAGAGTCATTTCCGACAAAACGCTGTTCACTTTTGGCAAAGCAATCGACTCGATAGTATCAGCAATCTCGTCTTCATTCTCATTCACGCCAACTTGCAACAACTCAGCCAAGGCTCCGTTAAACTGCTGATTGATGCCGGCCTCACCCAGAACACCCTGAATATCAGATTCCACAT